CAATTAAAACATTAATATCGGCAAAACTAAAGTATGGTTATTGCTTCATTATTACCAAATAATCATGTGATTAAATTAATGTTTATATAAGCTTTTGTTTTTTGTAGTTAAGCACAAAGCTAAACAATCAGTCTTTTACCCACGTATCGACTTTCAGATGATTGTTCATTATTATTCAATTGGGCAATTTGAATGATAAATGCTGATTCAATATTTCTATTGAGCAACTTTCTCATTTCAGAAGATTTCCACATTTGGTATCCACTAGCTTGTCTCCTTTTTTTTCCTACACTTGTTATTGTTTTAAAATACGAAGTCTACAAACTATTGTCAGCTTTAAATGGTATGTCCAGAACTTGCTCAAACTATGCAGTTGTTTCATAATTTTTCTCAGATTTTTATACAAAACGTATAACTATGAGATAATAGTCAGGAGAGAAGAATGGTGCTGTAACTTGTATGTACGCCTACATAACATGCAGTCATGTTCAGTCATACATGAACAGATCTACACAAGTATCTAAGCCTACAGTAGAATGTCGCTGGGAATTCCTGTCTATTAGTCATCTAAGATACTTCCCACAAGAGGCTAAGAATGTGTTTTGTATTTACCTGTAAATACATTCAAGGCCTGCAAGAAGAGTATATAAATATTAACTATATATATTATAGATATAAATGTATTCAGTGTTTATTATACTGATCTACATCAATTTGGCCATTCGAGATAGATAAAAGACATTGGTTTAAGTTATGAACATGGATTTGAATATTATTAAATGGTAAACTATAAAATTTCAGGAGACACTACTGCTCAAATTCTAAGGGGCTGAAAGTAGGCCAATAAAACAATAAAATTTAATTATAAATATATGTATAATGATACGAATTTAGAGCTACTTAGGAGAAACGAATGTAGCTTCATGTTACAATTTGAAGTCATTCTAGAAAGAAAAAAAAAGGTAATTTAGGTTTATTTTGATTTTTTATTTGTTTTTATTTTTGGTGGTTACGAGGTCGGTCGAATTGACCGATCCCGTTTTGAGATAGAGTAGAGAAAATACCAGATAAACAACAAAGTTTTACTAATAAAAACATTTGAAATGCATTTAGGAGGTTTTTGGGATTACAAAAAAAATTGAGATTTTTGAGATGATGAAAATTATTTTTAATTTTAACATGAAAATTACTTTGCACACTGACTATTCAAAACAAATATTCAACATATTCATGGAAAAATCTTTATTTTATTTTATTAAAAATACTTTACTAAAAAATATGATTTTTTGTATGTGAAAGACTTGTAATATTAACTGTAAATCTGCCAAATTTCGTGAAGATATACATCCTATATTGAGAGTTATAAGTATTAAATCTATAAAGACTTTAAACGAGAGCAAAAAAGGTTACGTGGTCAGTCAAATTGACCGAGCCCGTATTGAGAGAGTAAAAATTAAACTCTCAGTACATAATTTTGTTTAAGAACCTGAGAGACAAGTCTTAGCTGAATGTTTTAGGAAGACAGATGTTTCTGACACATTTCAAATACTTTGAAGAAGCCTTTCAAGATGCAACTCGGCATCTGGTTGGATATCTAATCATCAATTTGAAACTGTAAACTCCTGACCAATTATGTTACCTTGTTGAATTTGGGTCATGCTCTTGGGCAGTGCATTGCTTCATGAGAACATGTCATTCCATAATATAATTATATATGATTGATTCATTCTACCTTGTCGAAATTGGGTCATGGTGTTGCTGACATAAACCTATTATACCACCTAGCAACGTGAACATAGCAACACGTTCCCTGGTGTTGATGACGTACATATAAGGTCAATGACCTCAGCACCTCATTATTTTTATATGATCTAGTCGAAATTGGTTCAAGGCCATGTGTGTTTACTTCAGCAGCCCGATGACCATACTAACTACTCGGGTATTTTGTTTTACCTACTATCATGCCCCAAGTTGGACAAAATACGCGGTCTAGCTAACTAATGAATGAATATTTGTTGTAAATTTCTTATCAATGCTATAAGTGTAGCTACCAGTTTGGCTGACAATTTCGATATCATTCCTATAAGTCGCATGCTCAATCCTTTGTTGGCTGCACCTTTTTTTCACTGCTAAGGTGTTTTTGATTAGGTTTATTTATAATGAAAGTTTCAACCCAAGTAATTAAAACCAACACAAAAAACAGGGAAAGGAAATTCAATTTGTTGTTTACGTCAGATTAGGTTATTTTTAATCAATATTTTTGTTATTTAAAACAAGAAATCCTGACCAGGTTTTATTCTATTTAGTCTCGAGGATAGCCATGGTTTGAGATTACAAGTGAGACTGTATTTAAGTTTTAACTTGCTAATTATAATTTTTATATATTATCCCGGTGTGATTTTTAGTTAGTAAGTACGATTATCACATTTAGATTGCTGTTTAAGTATTTCAGCCTCTGAGATCTTTGTGTGGTATTTTATATAGTGTTGTATTGCTGAATAATGTTTCAAGCTTTTAATGAATTGTATAGAAAGTAAAAACATTGTCCGTCTGTCTTCCTGCCTCTTATCTTCATCTGTTTGTCGATTTGCCTTCCTGCGTATATATTAGGCTAAGTTTCACATATTGGTTAGCGTGTCGGACTGTGGAACTTTGGTTCCCTGGTTCGTGTCCCGTTATCGCCAATAATAAAAACAACTAAATCGTTTTCCGCTCTTTGTGGCCGTGGGTGTGTTATAAGCATGACTGTCAGGTCTCACTAATAGGCCTGACAGAACATATTTCTATTTTTGTTTGTCTGTCTATCTGTCTATTCATCTATCCATCCCTAAACACGAAAACTTAGCTTAAAGTGTGTACAGTTACGCAAAAGTTTACATATTATAACAAGCTAGTTATTTCTTCTTATGGACAAAAGTGACACTACATAGTTTCTAACTTCACACATTAAACTGACACAAAACACTGAGCCAGCTGACGGTTACACGAGGATATTTCCCAATTCTCTGGAAGGGAAAAAGTTATATTTTCGGACCAGTTCAAAAAGACGACCAAGTATCATCCCTGTCACGTGCAGCTACGAACATGTAGACAAGTGAGCCGGAAGACCCAAATTAACTTACACCCACGTGCTATCACGTCGAGGCCCGAGGATTGCGAGTTACATTCATCCATTAAAATTCATTTCCTGCCTTCAATATACGTATAGTTTATGCGTCTAAATGGAAGCCAAGAAATATGTATAAATTATTAAACCTTGGAATTCTAGCGCTGAAAGTCTTACATTAGCAGCTTGACATATTGGCTCAAGCTGTAAATGTTTTGTTGTTCGTATCTTATGGTATATAGTAAAACAAATGTTGTCAACAGGAACCAGACTCAGTATTATGATCAACATCTCTTTTAAATAAGCACACATTAAACAACAAGTTGTAATAGTGGTAGTAGAAATAAGATTTGAGTATTTACTGTAAAATAAAATATATTTTATTATATCTTAGCGATCGAACACATTAATATTCTTCGCACAATTTTCTATTACTTGTTCCGCTGTAAGACAAGTACACAACCTGAATCGGCCCGGCATGGCCAGGTGGTTAGGGCGCTCGACTCGCAATCTGAGGATTGCGCGTTCGAATCCCCGTCCCATCAAACATGTTCGCCCTTTTAGCCGTGGGGGCGTTATAAAGTGACGGTCAATCCCACTATTCGTTGGTAAAAGAGTAGCCCAAGAGTTGGCGGTGGGTGGTGATGACTAGCTGTCTTCCCTCTAGTCTATCTTCTAAGAACCAGAAAACCAGGCTCATGAGTGTATATCTATTGAGGCTGTTGAGTGTACATATTTTTAGAATCAGAACAACAGGCGGTCGAGTGCATATACCCTTAGCAACAGAATACCAGACTGTTGAATGTATATCTTTCTTGAATCAGTATACCAGACTATCAAGTGTGTATATCTCTTGAACCAGAACATTAGATTATTGAATGCGTACATCCTAAGAACCAATAAATCAGAGTGCTAAATGCTCATCTCCTGATAACCGGAAACCAGACTGTTAAGTGTACATCTCCTAAAAACCAGATTATCAGACTATTTAGTATGCCTCTCCTGCGAGCCGTAAAACCAGAATGTTGGGTGTATATTTCTTTAGAACTTGGAAAGCAGACTTTTGAGTGTACATCTCTCTATAAGCAGAACACCGGACCGTTGAGTTTACGTCCCTCTACGACGAGAACACCAAACTGTTTAGTGTACCTGTCCCGAGAACCAGAACACAAGACTGTTGGGTGTATATCTCTCTAGAATTTGGACACCAGACTGTTGAGTGAACATCTCTTTAAATCTCAGAAACCAGAATGTTTAGTGAGCATCTGTTGAGAACCAGAACACCAGATTATTGATTACATCACTTTCGATCCGAAACACAGGGCTGTTGGAGATAAAGAAAGAAAACAGACAGTATATACTTCAGGTAAAAGCTGTATATAGTATATTATGTGGTATATTTTTGTTTTACTCATGCTGAGGTATTTGAACCTTAATTAATTAATGATTAATATCACTAGGTCAATTTTACTTTTTGACCTTGCGGGACTAGTATGTTACATTTAAATGCGGTTAAATTTTCTTTTCTTTTTTTATCTCTTCCTGGTAATATTTCTCAGTGATATAAAAAAACGAACCTTTACAAACGTGACTTTAAGGTTTGCAAAGCTCAACCTTATATTTTTCTATCTTTCTCTAAACTGTTCTCATAGCCTTGGACGAACTTTTTGATTTCATTTCAATCCTGCCTTATGACCTGAACGTTCTCACTAACGAGATACAATAATACTTATTAACTACTCCCGCATCTCACAACTTGGTGATTGGCCAACGCTATTCAGCCCGATAGAACCACTGGCCAATGAGAACCCGAGTAAAATCTATGCGCGCACTCATTTGTTATTTTATTTTCTTTGTTATTGTTTCTTTTCTTCAACGTTTTGTTTCCATAAAAGCACACTACATGATATAAACGTGAAGGAAGCGTTTATGCGTCAAAAGGTAATGTTTGAAGTAATCTTGTTACAGCTCCGAGGTTTACATGGAATAACGAATGCTTGTCTCCAAAAGCTATTGAACATTTTACAATTAACAATTGAGTCAAGGAAATTAACCTATTTAACGTGTCATCATTTTACTTCAAAACATAAATTAAAAACGGATTTGGTTGCATTACGCTCTGTCAGTTCGAACTGTGATAGTGTTGTATTTGGTTTACTCACGTACAGAACGTGGATACGCGCCCAAAACAGTTGCTTTCTGTTCACTTTACTGCATTACACGTGTTTGTGCGAATTGTTATTACCAATCATCTCGCGTCATTAGACAGCCTGAAGCGATAAATAAATGTATACCCTCAGCTTATGTAAAATGACAGCTTTTTTTAAACTCGTGTCTTTCAATTTAATTTCCAATTGTATGTAACAGAATAACAGCAGTTGTGCATCAAAATATAGCACCATCTTAACCAAAGCACGTGTAGCCTCGTATTAATTAGAAAAAAGAACTATAAAACAAAAGCACACGATGCCCGAATTACCAACAGTTCCCAGTAATCACAGGCTGTATCAGTGTGATAGGTGTAAACGGTTCCTCCGATCGTTCACGGCTCATTTGTTCTCCCACATAGGTCTCTGTGGACTAGTGATAGGTTATGCTATAGTCGGGGCATTCACGTTCGAATCCTTGGAAGCCACGCATGAGATCACGAAGCGCTCCCAAATTAGTAAGTTCAGGGAAAACTGTCTCGAAGACCTTTGGGAAATTACCAATAACCTGAACGTACTGTATCAAGAGAACTGGACAGTGGCAGTGGCTGGAAGGTTGAAGGACTTCGAGCAGACCGTCGTCAATGCTGTCAAAAACGAAGGGTATATTGGCAAGGATACAACTGATGTTGAGCTACAATGGTCTTTCCCTGGAGCATTGTTGTATTCCATAACTGTTATTACAACAATTGGTGAGTTAGCTTTTTTTTTTTTGGAACAATGCTGTATTCCATAACAACAAAAAGTCAATATTTTTTTTTCTAGAAAACTGTTGTACTCCATAACATAGCAGTTATTACAACACTTGATAACTCAAACTTAAATTTTTCTGGAAAACTGCTGTATTAGATAACAAAACTGTTATTACAACACTTGATAACTCAACCTTCAATTTTTCTGGAAAACTGCTGTATTAGATAACAAAACTGTTATTACAACACTTGATAACTCAACCTTCAATTTTTCTGGAAAACTACTGTATTAGATAACAAAACTGTTATTACAACACTTGATAACTCAACCTTCAATTTTTTCTGGAAAACTGCTGTATTAGATAACAAAACTGTTATTACAACAACTAATGAGCTAATTTTCTTTACAATACACATTTTCTCGAAATACCTCTGGTCAGATCAAACATGCTGATACTTTTAACAACGCTGATTTTGTGAAAAACTTTGATATTTGAAGAATCTCTTCCTTGAAAAATTATGTAAGACTTACAACATCAGACTTAACCCAAAAGAACGAATTGAATCCGAGAATAAACCACTGTTATCCCTTAATATACAAGTAATTGAAGCAAGTAATACCAGAATAAAAACCTCTGTCAAAAGTAAAGGTATTACACCCGACACGCCCAAATCTAAGTATTTTCTTCATATACGCTACTGAAAAAACGAAAATTTTATAATACACCGAACGTTACTTTCTATCCTTTTATACATTGATTCTGATAATCACCAACATTTAGGTAATTTTGGCCACTACGTACAAAGTAATTTCTTTTTAGTAAACGTTTCAAGATCTCTGCAGTGATGTAAATCTCGTGCATGTGTGTGTGTGTGAGAGAGAGAGAAATTGGTTTTAAACGTCTCCTTTACCCGCAAGACATCTGACAAACAACATTACTGATACCAGTCAATTAACCATCATTATTACAAACAACATTACTGATACCAGTCAATTAACCATCATTATTTACAGACTAGTGCTGTCTTGGGATGCTTGCTTCATAAGTTTTTAGTTCAATATTTTAAAATTATTTTTGAACATTTCCTCCTGTTTGAGTCCACATATTACATCATTTTGAATAACGTTATGTTCTTGTCCTAACAATCCTTGTTTACTAGCTAAAATATGTAAAGATTCTCGTCAGTAATTAGTAGGACTAATTACAATATGGATGGTAATTTAGTCGAACTTTTTTGTGACACGAATGTTATTAGAGATCCTATAACCAATAAAGTCATGCAACCATAAAAAAATTAGTGCATAAACAATTTAGAAAATAAAATAAAATTTAGGTGGGGACCATCAGTAATTCTAGGGTTAGCTTGCTTGATAATACAGTTTCTTTTGTCAACTTCGGGTTACATTAGTTGCAGGAAATAATAGCCTTCGCCATATCAATGAACACAACACTAGTAAACTACCTATTTATAACAAAGTATTGATGTAGAAAATAACAGCAACTCAGTTTTTGGACCATAGCATGAGTGAAGGCAATGCGAATAAATTAGCTTTTTGGACCATAATATTAATTAAGAAAATACCAGGATATATGTTATTGACAGGATTAAGTTAGCTATTTCGACCGTAATATTAATGAAAAAAATACCATCAGTTATATATTCTCAAAAGTATGGTGTTGTGGTCCAAGAGAGACAGATATACACTTAATATTCTGGTGTTCTGGTTCTAGAGAGGTAGATATACACTTAATATTCTGGTATTCTGGTTCTAGAGAGGTAGATATACACTTAATATTCTGGTGTTCTGGTTCTAGAGAGGTAGATATATGCTCAACAGTACAGGTTTCTGACCACAGAGAGATATACAATCAACATTTTAGTGTTCAGGTTCTTTAGACATATACACTTTACAGTCTGGTATTCTGGTGTTCGGGTGACATAGACTAAAGAGACTGTTATTCTGGTTCTACATAGATGTACACTCAACAGACTGGTTTCCGAGTTCTAAGGATATTGCACTCAAGTCTGGTTTCTTGGTTCTCAGGAAATGTACACTCAATGTTGGATATAGAAGACTGTTCAGTTTAAGAGTTATGAATTACTTTATGTAGTGATATAATATTTAATTATTGTTTAGTTTTCATAAAAAACGTGTTAAAAGTTAATTATTTTAAAAGCGGTAGTTATGACAAGTTTCGTTACATAATTCTGTACGAGTCGCACGTTGTGTATGTAGTTTAATTGTTGTACTAGGCTTTTGTAATATTGTTGATGTTATCTTACTCGAGACTTTTAAGTTTTCTCGTTGTGTGAAATATTGTTGTTACTAGAGGGCTAGATATTTCTAGACTTTTCTGTCTTGTGTTATATATACGTGCAGATACAGTAATTAAGTTAAGTTAGTGAAAGTGAAAGAAAATGTAAAGTTAGCCTACGTGTAAGTTTAGCCGTAATGGGTGATTTTTAAAGTGAGTATCACAGCCATGTATTGTAATAACAGAGTAGAGGAGAATAATTTGTCTTCTCAAAGGGTGTTCAAAAGTAATTGAACCCGCCTCTGTGGACTTTGATGAAAAACAGACAATTATTTAAAGCTCTGGATACAATTGTGATACCAATAGTGTAACAAATTTTTGTACATACGTTTGACTTGTTTTGAAGATATTATTTTCAAACAAGTGGATTGTGTGCAGTCCGTTTATGGTTGAAATTTATCGCCAACAAGTCACAGACACCTACTGTAAAGAATTCGGCCAAATAAAACTTGAAACAATCTGGTTTCTCTGTTCTTATGAGATGTACATATAATACTCTGGTTTCCCAGTTCTCAGGAGATGTACACTCAACAATTTGGTGTTCTGGTTCTCAGGAGATGTACACTCAAAAGTCTGGTTTCCGGTTGTCAGAAGATGTACCCTCAACAGTGTGGTGTTCAGGTTCTATATATATATGTATATACTCAACGGTCTGGTGTTCTCATTGTAGAAAGATGTATGCTCGACAGTCTGATGCCCTGCTTCTAGAGAGGTATAAAATCAACAGTCTACTGTTCTATTTTTAGAGAGATGTATACTGAACAGTCTGTGTTCTGGTTGTAAATATATATGTTCACTCAAAAATCTAGTTTTCTGATTCTAGAGAGATGAAAACTTAATAGTCTGGTTCTAAGGAGATATACACTAAAAATCAAGTGTTTTGGATCTAGACAGATGTACACTCAACAGTCTCCTGTTCTGGTTCTAAAAAGATATACATTCAGTGGTTTCGTTTTCTGGTGATCAGGAGGTAAACACTCAACAGCCTGATGTTCTGGTTCTAGATACATGTACAACATGCCCAACAGTCTGGATTCACGGTTCTCATGAGATATACACTCAACAGTCTAGAGTTCTGGTGTTCAAGAGATATACACTCAAAATCCTAGTGTTCTGGTTCTTGAGAGATGTTCACTCAAAAATCAGTGTTTCTGATTTTAAAGAGATGTTTGGTGAACTAACTGTTTTCCGGTACTTAGGAGAAGTACAATCAACAATCACTAGTTTTAGTTCTAGAGAGATATACAATCAACAGTCTGGTGTACTGGTTCTCAGGAGGTATACATCCAACAGTTTGATATTGGTGAACCAGATTATTACACTTGTTCTAAAGAGATAGTCGACCAATTCTCTAGTGTTCCAACTACACAGTGATGTATGATCAACTACCTGATGTTCTAACTACACAGTGATATATGATAAACTCTCCAGTGTTCCATCTACACAGTTATCTATGATCAGCTACCTGATGTTCTAACTACGCAGCGCTGTGTGATTAACTACCTGATGTTCCAACTATATAGTGATGTACGATTCACTACCTGATGTTCAAACTACACAGTGATGCATGATTCAATACCCGATATTCCAACTACACAGTGATATACGATCAACTCTCCAGTTGAATAAATAGAGTTGTTTAAACATTTATTTAACAACAAGTAAAAGCTTGGAATGGTCTATCCTTTCATTGGGGATGTGTCTGTGAGTCAGTCTAGTTTCAAAGAATTCCACTTCTAATCAGTGACTCTGGACACTACCACCAATGAAATATCAACAACAACATATGCGTTATTTTATTCCGATCCCGGGGGGACTGCGGGCCAGTAGAGGGTTACGCCCCTCGTCAGCCAAGCGACGAAAAAAGAAAAATGGTGAAAATGAATAATAGAAGGGTAAGCGTGCAAGCCAGCATAGGAAGCAGAAAATGGGGAAAATGCGATATATGCAGATGGAGGAGACAATCCAGAGAAATATGGATGAACACTAACCAGTCTATATCACATAATGGAGACAGTGTGGGAACTGGCAACGGGTATTACGAGTATTAAGAATCAGGATAGATAAATGGGCGAAGAGGGGACATCGGCATCTCGACGTGGTCGGGATTGTCAGCTGGGAGGGACATAGCATAGAGGTTCAGTAGGTGATCATCTGATGCCAAAATACTTCTCGGAGTGGGTACAGTGGTGGCGAGATCATCGGAGAAGATGAGATTGTGGTCACGAAAACATTTATTTACATAGCGAGTGCGAAGCTGTCGAAGGTGTAACAAAATGTGAGGAAAGTTGATTCGCGATAAAAGTCGGAAGTGGGACTAGGGAGTTTGACGCCAAAGGCAAGCCGGAGGGCATGGCGCTCCAAAACCTGGAGAAGAGAGAGAAGCAGATAGCCAGGCTGTATGTACATAGGTAAAGCAGTGTCTGATAAATGTCTTGTATGTGTATAGCAGAAGTGGAGGGTTCAGGCCCCAGCAGGCACCAGTGAGAGAGCGGAGGAGATGAAGACGTCGAGTAACCTTAGCAGAAAGGGTAGAAGGAAAGGAAGATGCCTATCAAAGACAATGTCTAGATAGGTCACAGAGACGGAAAGGGGGATCGGGACATTGTCGACTTGGACATCAAATAGAGATGGGTCACGGCAAGGGCGAAACTTACGACGTGTTGGACCAAAAAGAATAGC